GAGAGATTTAAGAAGCGTCGTGGCATACACAGTGTGGTAAGGCATGGTGAGTCTGCAAGTTCTGACAAATGTGTGGCTGAAAAATTTGTGCAGGAATTCAAGGACTATGTAACAAAACAGGCCTCTTTTGGAAGAAAATACCGAAGAGGACCTACATCACGCTGGAGGAAACAGCACTGCCAGGACACAAGCCTATGAGACAGGCTAACTCTCATGTTCTGTGGGAATGCTAGTGGGGATTTCAAAATGAAGTCTCTACTGGTGTATCACTCTGAAAATCCCAGAGTGTTGAAGAAATACAGTGTTGCCAAGAGTAAATTGTGTGTGATGTGGAAGGCTAACAGTAAGGCATGTTTGGCCCGAGTGTGAAAAAATACCTCCTGGAAAATAAACTGCCACTCCTGTGCCTCCTGGTAATGGACAGTGTTCCTGTTCTTCCTCCAGACTTGGATGACCAAATGATGGAGGAGATTAGTTTTATCACAGTGAAGTTCTTGCCACCTAATACCACTACTCTCATTCAGCCCATGGACCAGCAGATCATTTCAAACTAAAAAAAAATGTACACCAAAGCAGGGTTTCAAAAGTGCTTGGATGTGACCTCAGACACTCAGTTGACCCTAAGAGAGTTCAGGAAAGATCACTTCAGTATCCTCCATTGCATAGGCCTTATAGATAAGGCTTGGCAGGAAGCAACTTCCAGGACTTTGAACTCCACTAGGAGAAAATTGTGGCCAGATTGTGTACTCAACAAAGATTTTGAAGGGTTTGAGGCTGACCTTGACAGCCCTATGCCCTATGACCCTGACAACCCTATGCACCATAGGAAGACAAGCACCTTAGGAAGATATCTACCATAGGGAGATGTGCAACATAGGGAGACATTTACCATAGAGACACATGCAACATAGGAAAACATGCTCCATTGGAAGACATGCACCATAGGAAGACATGCACCATAGGAAGACATGCACCATAGGAAGACATGCACCATAGGAAGACATTCACCATAGGAAAACATGCACCATAGGAAGACATGCACCACAGGAAGACATTCACCATAGGAAGTCATGCACCATAGGAAGACATGCACTATAGGGAGACATGCACTATAGGGAGACATGCACCATAGGATGACATGCACCATAAGAGGATATGCACCATGGGAAGATAATTCACCATAGGAAGACATGCACCATAGGAAAATATACACCATTGGAAGACATGCACCATAGGAAGACATGCACCATAGGAAGACATGCACTATAGGGAGACATGCACCATAGGATGACATGCACCATAAGAGGATATGCACCATGGGAAGATAATTCACCATAGGAAGACATGCACCATAGGAAGATATGCACCATTGGAAGACATGCACCATAGGGAGATGTGCACCATAGGGAGACATGAACCATAGGAAGACATGCATCTTAGGAAGACATGCACCATAAGAAGACATGCACCATAGGAAGACATGTACCATAGGAAGACATGCACCATAGGAAGACATGCACCATAGGAAGACATGCACCATAGGAAGACATGCATCAGAGGAAGATATGCACCATAGGAAGACATGGACCTTAGGGAGATATGCACCATAGGAAGACATGCACAATAGAAAGACATGCACCTTAGGAAGACATGCACAACAGGAAGAAATGCTTCTTAGGAGGACATGCATAATGGGAAGACATGCACCATAGGAAGACATGCACCATAGCAAGACATGCAGCATAGCAAGACATGAACAATAGGAAGACATGCACAATAGGAAGACATGCACAATAGGAAGACATGCACAATAATAAGAAATGCACAATAGAAAGACATGCACAATAGGAAGACATGCACCTTAGGAAGACATGCACCTTAGAAAGACATGCACAACAGGAAGAAATGCACCTTAGGATGACATGCATAATGGGAAGACATGCACCATAGGAAGACATGCACCATAGCAAGACATGCACCATAGCAAGACATGCAGCATAGCAAGACATGCACAATAGGAAGACATGCACAATAGGAAGACATTCACCTTAGGAAGACATGCACTGTAGTAAGACATGTTCAATGGGAAGACATTCACCATAAGACGACATGCATAATAGGAAGACATGCACCTTAAGAAGATGTGCACCTTAGAAAGACATATACAATAGGAAGACATGCACAATAATAAGAAATGCACAACAGAAAGACATGCACCTTAGGAAGACATGCTCCTTAGGAGGACATGCATAATGGGAAGACATGCACCATAGGAAGATGTGCACCATTGGAAGACATGCACAATAGGAAGACATGCACAATAATAAGAAATGCACAACAGAAAGACATGCACCTTAGGAAGACATGCACAATAATAAGAAATGCACAATAGAAAGACATGCACAATAGGAAGACATGCACCTTAGGAAGACATGCACCTTAGGAAGACATGCACAACAGGAGGAAATGCACCTTAGGATGACATGCATAATGGGAAGACATGCACCATAGGAAGACATGCACCATAGCAAGACATGCGCCATAGCAAGACATGCACAATAGGAAGACATTCACCTTAGGAAGACATGCACTGTAGTAAGACATGTTCAATGGGAAGACATGCACCATAGGAGGACATGCTTAATAGGAAGACATGCACCTTAAAAAGACATGCACCTTAGGAAGACATGCACAATAGGAAGACATGCAAAATAGGAAGACATGCACAATAGGAAGACATGCACCTTAGGAAGACATGCACCTTAGGAAGACATGCACAATAGGAAGACATGCACCTTAGGAAGACATGCATAATGGGAAGACATGCATCATAAGAAGACATGCACGATAGGAAGACATGCACAATAGGAAGACATGCACAATATGAAGACATGCACAACATGAAGACATGCACAATAGGAAGACATGCACAATGGGAAGACATGCACAATATGAAGACATGCACAATAGGAAGACATGCACAATAGGAAAACATGCATCATAGGAAGACATGCACAATAGGAAAACATGCATCATAGGAAGACATGCACAATAGGAAGACATGCACAATAGGGAGACATGCACAATTTGAAGACATACACAATAGGAAGACATGCACAATAGGAAAACATGCACAATAGGAAGACATGCACAATAGGAAAACATGCATCATAGGAAGACATGCACAATAGGAAGACATGCACAATAGGAAGACATGCACAATAGGAAGACATGCACAATAGGAAGACATTCACATAGGAAACATGCACCATAGGAAAATATACACCATTGGAAGACATGCACCATAGGAAGACATACACCATAGGAAGACATGCACTATAGGGAGACATGCACCATAGGAAAATATACACCATTGGATGACATGCACCATAGGAAGACATGCACCATAGGAAGACATGCACTATAGGGAGACATGCACCATAGGAAGACATTCACCATAGGAAGATATGCACCATAGGAAGACATGTACCATAGGAAGACATGCACCATAGTATCATGTGAGAGTTCGACACGTGGATTAGGTAAAGAAATACTCACGTAGGCTGGTAGTACGTATAATTACAGATAATGTGGGTAGCGCCCTTACAGCCATTACCTAGTCTCTCTGCTCTCTCTCGTACAACTGACCGACTGGCCGCCCACAGTACCCATATGTGAGGGGGTCTTTGAATACTGCCAGGTCAGCACATGAGTTCAGACAGTGACTCAGGCAGAGACGGTTGGTTGTGAGTCAACTGGCACAGTGGTTACTGGTAACTGGTTACTACTACTGAGAATAGGAAGACATGCATCATAGGAAGACATGCACAATAGGAAGACATGCACAATAGGAAGACATGCACAATAGGAAAACATGCATCATAGGAAGACATGCACAATATGAAGACATGCATCATAGGAAGACATGCACAATAGGAAGACATGCATGATAGGAAAACATGCACAATAGGAAGACATGACCAGTAGGAAGACATGCACAATAGGAGGACATTCACAATAGGAAGACATGCACAATAGGAAGACATGCACAATAGGAAGACATGCACAATAGGAGGACATGTACATTAGGAGGACATGCACAATAGGAAGACATGCACAATAGGAAGGCATACAAAATATTGAAACCTGCACCATTGGGAGATGTGCACCATAGAGGGACATGCTCTATAGGGAGACATGCACTGTAATGAGTCATGCACCATAGGGAGATGAACATAGCTCTGGTCCTGCAAGTACAAATACTGAAAACAGGACTCCACTGTGAACACAGCTTAGTGGTGTCCATACAAAGCTTTATTATGTTGATTCATTCTTAGGTGAGCTCTTCATGAGTGAAAAATTGTGTAAGAAAGATGAGCTCTCCTCGAGTGAAACATTGTGTGATAAAGATGGGCTCTCCTTGAGTGATTTTGTGTCATAAAAGTGAGCTCTCCTTGAGTGAAGCATTGTGTCATAAATGTGAGCTCACCTTAAGTGAAACATTGTGTAATAAAAGTGAGCTCTCCTTGAGTGAAGCATTGTGTCATAAATGTGAGCTCACCTTAAGTGAAACATTGTGTAATAAAAGTGAGCTCTCCTTGAGCAAAACATTGTGTAATAAAAGTGAGCTCTCCTTGAGCGAAACATTGTGTAATAAAAGTGAGCTCTCCTTGAGCGAAACATTGTGTAATAAAGGTTTTATCTGTTTGGTGTGTAATTGTATTAGCTTATTTATGAATACTTAACATGCCAGGTTATGCTAGGCTTGGCTTGGTTAGGGTAGGCTTAGCTTTGTGTAGTTAGGTTAGGCTAAGTTGGGCTAGATTTCATTAGGTTTTTCTTTGTTAGGTGAAGTAAGGTTATTCTATGCTGTGCTAGGTTAAGTTAGGTTATAGCTTTAGTTACCTTTGAGTAGTTGACTCAATTATTGTTTACATAATGATAGTGTGTATACCAGTATCTTCTAATTTATTACTTTATTAAAAAGAATTTCTTGCCAGGTGAAGCTGTCACTTATCACTGGTTTGTGCTGGATGGCTGACTCCATGGAGATGATGATTCTGGCAATTTTAGGCCCGGCACTGCACTGTGATTGGCACCTGTCAGAGTGGAAGCAAGCATTCCTTACCACTGCTGTCTTTATTGGTTAGCATTTCTTTTTTTTGACAATCGTAAAGCACTATGGATGAAAACAAACATACCAACAAACACAAACCCACACACAAACAAACACAAATACACTAAAATTAGACTAAGACTTGTGGATAAATGGTACTGAGAAACAAGTTGATGACTTAGACTCTTGGGCAACACTTTGATATCTGTATTGTGGAAATGTTTCACTAGCAAGTGGCTTCCTCAGTCCAGTACTGAGGAAGCCACTTGTTGATGAAATGTTACCACAATAAAGATACCCAAGTGTTGGATAAGTGTCTCAGTCATCTAGAATAAGCACTACTAAATGTTAAGAAGACTATATAAATGTGATGTTATATAAATGTGATGTTATATAAATGTAATGTTATTCAAGCTTATGAACGTACAGGTCCACCATCACAAATACGGCAATCAGTTATTCGGTACTAATTTTGGTTAGCATAATTTCAAATTTCCAGGGTCGCCACACCAACCTGCTGGTACTGTTTGGTGGTGCTACTTGCTGCATAAGTCATTCCAATTTCTTTTTCTCCATTTATTGTTTTAACCTGCTTACTTTTAGCCCTAGCCATCGTTCCAATGAATAAAAGAAATGCTTCTCATTATGTAAAGCACCTACACAGTACATTATCCATTAAAGATAAGGTGGCTTTGAAGCCACTGTCGGTTGCCATGAGCTCAGTCTCATGAAGCAGGAGAATATGCTTTATTATTATGCTAATATCAACACTACAGCTTATTTGCCTTTCACAATTGATCTAATATGACATAAGAAACAATATAAATAACATAAAACATGTTAAATACTCCAGAATGAATAATATTTGGCATAACACCGAGCAGTTCGACAGAGTTATGAAGAGGATATGGTAAACAAATACCGTTCTCCTATCCTTGTCTTGGAGGCTTATATTAGAGAAAACGGAGTACTGTATAGCACAGGGCTAACTATGATATACACTTGTACTCCCCAATAAACATGAAACAGAAAAGTTATTTTATCTCTATAGATTATCACACATAGCAGCATATGTGTAGAGAACCTAGGATAACCCAAAAAAAGTCAAAGTTAGTTAGTTAGTTTAACCCTTTGACTGTTTTCGACATATAAATACGTCTTACAAGCCAATGTTTCTGACGTATATATACTCAATAATTCTAGCGGCTTCAAATCAAGCGGGAGAAAGCTGGTAGGCCCACATGTAAGAGAATGGGTCTGTGTGGTCAGTGTGCACCACATAAAAAAAATCCTGCAGCACACATTGCGTAATGAGAAAAAAAAAACTGATCGTTTTTTTGGAATAAAACGCTGACTTTGAGGTGTATTTTCGTATAGTATTTATCGTTGTATTCGCGTTTTCATGGTCTTAGGTGATAAAATGGAAAACATATTACAGAAGTAGAGATGATTTTCATTACTTTGACGATGAAAATGACCTTGAAACTGAGCTCAAATTAGCGGAAATGTTCGATTTTTACCAATGTTCAGGAGTAAACAAATCACACCACATGTCCAATACACGTCAACTGGGGAGTCTAATATTCTTTCACTAGTGCACTGATATTATTTATACCATTTTTACAATAATGCAGTAGTCTGCATAACAGTAAATTTTGTATTTTTTTGTATGAATAAAAAATCAAAATAGAAAGCAATAATAATATAAGAGGGGCCTAGAGATGTGACTAATGAACAGAGGATATGCTATTTTAGTACCAAGAATGTCTACCTTGTTTATTCTGGACCCTATTTTGAAATTCGTATCTTTTTTAATTTGCGTGAAATTGGCCAAATTGCCAATTTCTGACCACTATATTGGGTAGTTCAAATTGGTAAATGGGCAGTTTCTTGTACTCAGCTGATAGATAAAATAGAGTTCTAAAGAAATAACTATGAGTTTGGTCAACTGGAACAACAAAATTGGCTGAAAACAGGGCTCAAATTCGGTGAAATCGCCGATACACATATGTCGCCGATTCCGCTAACTTCGCGGGAGCGTAATTCTGTGAGTTTTCGACCAAATTTCTAACTTTTGGTGTCATTACCATCGGGAAAAGATTCTCGATCATTTCATAAGAAATTTTTTTTTTTTCCGAATATTTGGCGACATAGAATGACAGTTTCAGAAAGGGGCCTGAAACAGTCAAAGAGTTAATATGTTTATTATACACCCCATACCCATCCTGTGGGCGGTAGTCAAAAGATTACAGAGGTACATAATTGGTCCAGGGACTGGACTCCAAAGTTTTGATAGCTGAGCAAGTTACAGAGGTAATGAACTCACAATTTACAAAGGTAATGAACTCACAATTTACAAAGGTAATGAATCCTGTAAGAATGGTTACTTACGTTTATACGTGGCTACAACCATGAACAAATTATAGAGTAATGAGCAATTCACACTTCTACACCCGGTCACAACTGTAATGAGTTATTGGTGCAAATATTGATTGTTGAGTCAGCCCTCCTCCGCTCTCGTCTGTCCGC